ACTTTTTAAGGGAAATTTAATGATTTATCTGGGACAGAGGAACCTAATGTATGCGGATTTCGCCGTCGTCACTCTTGTCTCACGAGTACTCTATACTCGTTAGAATCATGGACAAAAGCCACAGAAGAGGGCAGTCCAGTTGATGCCATCTTCATCGATTTCAAAAAGAATTTATATAGTACGTCACATAGATGGCTCCTACAGAATATTTGAAAGTGTGGGATACGTGCTTCATGTCAAAAAGCCTTAAAGAGTAATTGCTGTTTCCACTGCATCCCGATAAGTATCAGTAGAAAGCTGCGTTCGACTGGGTTCAGTCGTGGGACCTCTCCTCTTTCTCATTTATGTCAACGACTGAGCTGCAGTTCTTGACTGCGATGCCATCATGTTTGCAGTTGATATAAAGATTTAGAAAACAATCAGCTGTGCCGACGACGCGCAGAAACCTCAAGAAGTCGTTGATAAACTGGCTACATCATCCAGCAATTAGCTTCTAACGATTAATGCATCTAAATGTTTAGTTTGGCAATTGGAATCTGACCGAAGACGTTCTCTAAAACATCAGCACCGCATAAATTACATTCCACTAAAAGAAGTTGTTACGTACAAAAGACCTAGGTCCCTGAAAAATTCAAATTCTTTGTCCTCCGAGTACTCCAAAGGAACTGTCCAATAGGCAACCAGCATCATACACTGGATTAAGCCTGCTTTCGTAATCCTTTCTTCCAACCTCTTCGCACAGATATTCGGCACGTTCGCCAGACGGCATTTTGTATATGGAATGCCAGCATGGATGTCCTGAGCAACGAAAGACAGTGGTTTCATCGAGCAGCTGCAACAGCAGGCGACAAAACGCGTAAACGGTCTCTGGACTCTGTCATACCAGGGTAGACCGATCCAGCCATATTTTTCTCCCTACCCTATAGACAGATGAGGTACAACCTGCTGTGGGCATTCCGCACTATCCGCAGGCATGACTGTTTACTTAAACTCGAAGCTATCTTTGAGTTTACGAACATTATTCACCTGTGCGGTCATCAGTACAAGGTCAAACACAAGCGTACGCGCCTAGACCAACGGAGATTTTCATTCATTTAGCGCGTAGTTCGACCGCGGAACTTACTCCCAAATAAAACAGCGACATCTGACACCACGGTGGTATTCAAAAGGCAGGTGGATCGTTTGATTTTTGATAAACGACGACTCTCACTGCAGAGCTCTCTACGGCCAGTCCTGAAATTTATTCTCTGACTTCATTCCCTGTTTAACGCATCCATGCACTTTTGACGCAGATTGCTCCAACAAACTACACAATTGACGAATTTTTTGTCGGATGTACATATTTGCATTTGCAGTCTTCACTGTAAATAGAAATTCCATCTGGGGCTCGGCTTGCAATCTTCAAAAATACGCGGGTGCTCAGGTTGCAGCTTCGCCTTGTAGCACTTCATATTTGCAAAATATATGTTACTGACAACATTTTAATGACACGTTTATTTGAACGTTAATACTGACCGCTTTCAATAGGGTCAACAGGGACAGTGCCTATTACCCTAGATATGCTACTACTGCTACTACTACTACTACTACTACTACTACTACTACTACTACTATCAATACTACTACCACTACTATTACTATCACTAAATGGACCCAATATCTGTATTAATAAATTTGGACTTTAAGGAAGTTGAAGACATAAGAGGTATGTTAAAGGTAGTATTGGTTGCTTAGAAATACCAATTTTTCAGAAAAGCGAGATATTCCAAAATAAGCAAAAGTGGTTATAATTGAGTGAATTTCAGTTTTAGATGTATCGAATGTCCGTTGGTGCTAAAACCTAAGTACGACAACACAAGTAGAATGACGTTTAACGACTGTGTTTTGGTGAAGTTTGCATTAGAATGTCCTGTAAGAATTAGGGTAATGTCAGGTAGGGCGGTTTGCCAACAGCGTAAATTCCACGTATAGACTCCAAAATGTTCACAATAGAATTCGTTTTATCCTTTCGTTTCTGCATAAATTGAGATGCGATTCAGTAGGGCAAACAAGATTTTGCTTGATGTCACCGATTGGGACGTCAACGGAACCTGAAGATCGACGCGTTGTGCTCTCAGAACTCAGGCGATTGGAACAGGAGAATTAGGTATGGATAAGGCCCTTTCATATGACGCCATGGCAGAACAATGGAAATTTGGTGCACATTCAACGATTGTCATAGATAGGCTGTCTTCTGTCCTCCTGTCTGTCTTCGCTTACCTCTTTGTACGGCCAACGTATCCCGTTCCATAGGAGCAAGTGAATAAGTCGGTAAACATCGATGTGGCGTTCAACGGTGGTCGGTCTTTGCCCCAAGCATAGGAAGGGGGATTTCGTGCAACATACGCGCACAAACGCTGCGGGGAATGCGCTGGTGATAGCTGTCTCCGGCCGTCGTTTTACTAGGTCTGTTACTGAATCACCTTTTTCTGCACTTGTCATTGTGGACTTTGCAGAGTGCGTGAAAACATATCGGCCTGGCTAGACAGAGGTGAAAACAAATCGATTTCGAGTTCGCTTCTCGTACATCTTGTCGATACAAATCACCATATCGATGCCAAATAAGTTTTTCAGATTGTCTACCGGACACCAGCAAGCTTCTCCAGAGGCCTACGTCAGCGGGTGCTAGCTACAGTCGAGGCAGTGGCTATACGGCTGGCTAATCCAGTGCTGTGTTGCCGGAAGACGTGGACACAGGCGTTCTGTCTTCCATGGCCGACGCCGACCCCAGATGATGATTGCACGCCGCCGCAACCTCATGATGGCAGTGATGCGTGCTCAACGTACCCTGCTTACAAACATCGCTGACAGCATGTGTTCCCCCCTCCCCTCTCGACCCAATTACCATAACACGCCGACCTCGCCATGCGGGTGTCGTGGGAACGATGAGTGTCTCATGAAGGAACGGAGACTGTGGACGAGATATGCCAGATGACGACAGTTCAAACAGTTCTCTGAAAGTAAAAAACGACGAAATAATTGTCAGAATCTGCTAAGAACCGAACAAGCAGTGTTTGAATAAGAAAGAGCCAAATGTATTACCAAGGAATATGGAAGCGTTCCTTGTATAAGGCGTATTGACGAGAACAACTTGCTAAATGTGAATCAACACGGATTTAGATGCGCTCTGCCCTGACACAGCAATAAGTTCACATCCGTGGGAATCTGGAATAAACGTTCAGAAAAGGATTTTTTGGCAGATGCAGCCTACATGAACGACAACAAAGCCTCTCATAGGGTTTCACACAGACGGTTAATACATAAACTGCGTCAAATAGGTGTGACTGGCAACCCACACAAATGGTTGGCCGAACTTCTCGCAGGGAGACGGCGACGTATTTGTATTCGTGAGACCCAATCGGCTTGGGAAACCGTTGACAGTGGAGTTCCGCAGGGGAGCGTTCTGGGCTCCCTTCTGTTCTTGGCACATGTAAAGGACTGCCTTGCATGCCTGACTTGCGAAAAGGTAATGTTCGCCGATAATTTGAAGATATGGAGTCCAATATAATAGTCAGAGAGTGAACCGGACTCGAAAACCAACTTGAGTCGATTTCAACAGCGGTGTGATTAATGGCTTCCAAACCTCAATTTTAACAGATGTCGAGTCATCCGACTACGGTCGAGTCATAGAATGATAATGAGACTTGAGTACCAATACTTTATCGGACGTCATCAATTCGAGCTAGTAAACGAGTTAAGGCACCTGGGTGCATGTATGACATCCACTCTCAAATCCTCGTCTCGCTGCGCCAAGATAGGAAATAAGTCAATGTATATCCTGGGAGTAACCAGGAGATGCTCCCTTAACTTAGACAAAGAACTTTTTGGTTGAGTATTTTTAACGTTTATCCAGCCGATGTTAGAATATTGCAAGTTAAACAAGTGGATAGAACGTTGGCTGTACTAAAGCCTTCCCATTAATGCGTGGGTTAAAATCCCAACGAAGTGCCGAGTTCTTTACAGTTGGGTCAGTATGAATTAAACAAAACTGGACAACATTTTACATGATGGTCATATACTTACTTAACAAGAACTCAAATCATGTAACCGTATGTATATGAGAACATGTGTACGTTTTTCTAGCCCGTCTGTCAACTGGGTTTTCAAAGGCTTCTATGTCCATTACACATACTGGGCTATGTTGACTTGTTTAGCTCACGTTGAGTTCTCAATTGTCGAGAATTCTGGGGGCTGATGATTTAAGTAGAGCGTGAAGCAGGCAGGATAGAAGGGTCCGATCACATGAAGATACAGGTCGGTGGAGAAGGCGCCGCGGTCAAAGTAAGTTCGCAGCTGACAGACTAGACGACTTTGGATTGATTTGCTTGTCGAGAGCTCCTGCGTTGCCCCTAGTAAAAAATGGGCGCAGTTAAAATCTCCAGTCTTCACAAAACTTTACGGATGGCTGACTGCCAAAGGACCGACCTTAACGCGAGTTGCCCTTCCTGTGAAAACCTACTACAAATTGAGGGCACCAAATAATGCTCGGTCTACGTATAGAGTTTTTTTAAGCTTCGTCAGTCACTGCATTTTATCACACTTCCGGTCGTCACGACAAGTCAAGAAAATGGATTCTCTTGCCACTGGAGCCTAATAAGTAGGGAAGGAGAGAGTGCAATAGATGCTTCGAAAGCCTACTTAAGTATAAACACATTCGCTCGCACGCCACCAGCGCAGAGCTCAGCTGTTAATGGTCCAAATCACATACACCGCGTTGAGAGACCAGCGACAGATTAGAAAGCCTTTCGAAATTTGCTGCCACACTGATTTAAAAAAACGGAGATCTTAAAATTGTTGGTAACGGCGAGGTTGACTGCTAAAGTCGCTATTGCTGGAAAGATATTTTTACAAATGCCACAGTTGTTTAGTTGCATCATCTGTGATGGATTTGCCAACCTTGTTTTCGGGGTCGCCGTATTGGCGGTCAATACCTACTGCGTGTGCCACAGTAATATATTGCGATGAGTAAGTTGAGGGCTTAAAATGTAGCTTATTGTCTTGTAAGTGGAAAAAATCCGTGCGGTTTATATTACAGAACCGTAATTTATATAAAAGATCAAACGCAGGATAGTGTACTCGCGCTCATTTGAATTCGAAGTAGAACGTAGCTACAGAGAAGTATTCCAGCAGTATTCCGTGGAATACTGCTGAATTTTAGCTAAAATGTTGTTATTACTTCACATTTTTGTATTTACAGTTTAATACAAAAGAAATATTTTATTTTTGCAGGTTCGCAGACTACGGAATTAAATCTGCAGGTAGCATGTAAGTTCTTAAGAACTTATGAATACAGATTTCTTGCATATGCGTCACTTCGTGTTTGAAAAATAAAGGCTGATCTACGTTGGTTAAGGCTATGGCAAGATGAGTTTATAATGCATCCTGTTTACTATAGGGTATTTTACAATGACTTGCTGTAGACAGCTCGACAAGCTGTCAGCATCCACTATCCGAGCTTTAACCCAATCCTTATTCCTATTAGAGGAGATTAATGATCGGCTTTTAGCGTAAGAAGTCGTGAAGGGTGCAAGTTTTCGCTCGCCACCACTGATTCAATTCTACATATATGCACAAGTGAAGGAACCCAGTTGGCTGAGTTGAATGCACAGCATGCAATTTTATAAGACAAATTAACGATCCTATTTACTTACTTTCTTATTCTCTAACTGCTATGAATATTTCATCAATCAGGTTCCAAAATAAATACAACTTGCGCCCCCAAGGCCATTCAAACTGAACGACAATAAGTCAAAAAGCGGATGAATGTTCTCTTAAATTAGGGAGAGATAAAATCATTTTGGTCGTTTCCTACCGACTTCGTAAACAGTACGGAAGCATTTTTTTTTTCAAGTATCTACGACACCCACGATCGTGCAACTACTAAGATGTTCAGGAATGCCTATTAATCGTCTAGATGTTGTTATGAAAAACATTGCCGATTATTTACTTGTGTAGCCCGTTCCTTCTACTTAATTAGTTATTTCACATGACTGAAGTAAATACACGTAAATATTCATTCTACTATATATTGTGGATTTCATACTCCCAGAACGCATTACTGTTTATTTCATGCAAAAGGTTCATTAGTAATGACTGATGGCTGCCTTAAAATATCAGACACGACGTCGTATAAATTGTGCCTTGTCGTTTTTCAATAAAAAAACATTTTGAAAGTATGCTTCACATCTCTCAGGTGTCTCCTCGAAGAACTAGTAAAATATTTGTTGATATTATAGAGGAGTGGGCAAAGGAATGTGGACTCTTTGTATTAATGGTGGCTCTGTCCCGAATTCCAGTGGTGTTGAAGTTAGGATTAGCGTTGGGTCGAGAGTGAGGAGGGTTGAAATTAGAGAAGGGCTGGGAGGGTTATGACGGTCCATATAACTGTTAGATTTACTGCCGTAGCGGTTAGGGTGAAGGTTGAATTTAGGACACGAGAATATTTTCCTCCCAGAATGTACGGTGGGGCCGCCGTCGCGTTTGTGGCATTTTGACTGTAATATACCCTGGATCGGGACATTTTTGTCTGTCTTGAATTAATGTATACTTGAGACATAATCTAATAGCTTGTTTTCTATGGTAAGGCGCAATTACTTTCGTCCTTTTTTGACCACTTTCACCTATTTCAATGAGACAGGTCAAAGTGCAACCAATCACTCGTTTTATATGCGTATATTGCGAATGTTTTGTCTTTAATCAAGATTTTACTTGCTTGCTGCAATTATTAAATAGACCACGTAAACGTTAAAGGTATCGCGTGCAGGACAAGACTGTTCAGGTCTTTCGTAATTTATTTTCAGGCAATCATAACCTTTTGATTTTCAAATATGAACGTTTCTCATTTTCCAATGCGGGGTAATGAAGTTTTAGTAGGATGTAGAATTGTTGTCGGCTGACTATAAAACGTTAGAATCAGTTTCAGTAGTAGGCGACGGACTTAGAACAACCAGGAGAAACTAAAGAAAAAATGTCAAGCAAACTTTGGCGAATCATATCTATTATGACGTGGAGTCCAGCAAAATAAAAACGTTCGAAGTAATCGGGAAAACTCGGAGACTGAACTTTCACCGGTTAAGGAAATTTTGTGTTTATGACAGTTGTGCCACTGCAAGCGACGACGTCGATTTCGTGTCACACGGCGTGGGCCCAACACTAGTGATGGGCACGTTAGTCGGTTTGTTGTGAGTTATACCTACGTCGCATCTACAGCACACTCTCTTCATCCATCCACTCATCTCGAACGGGCAGAAAATATCAAGACGACTGGAGGTGGGAGCGGATACAGGGGTTGACAAAAGTAATCAGTCTAACTGAAGCCAACAGGCGAGTTCCAGATAGCCGTTATGATGGAGACGCAATCGTTTGAACAAATCTTTATTCGCCTGACGTTCCCAATTCTCAGTCGAAACCGCCGTCCGTCCATTAACGACTATTTGTAATGATCGGTTCCAATAAACCAGTCGACTGTCAGCGCCTCGCGCCCAATTGGCGATTAGGTCTGGTTCATCGACTGAAAAATAATCAGCCAACTTACGCATGTCAAATACGGCCTATTTCGCATTCCAGATGTACCAGACTGCGAAAAAGAGCAAGCTTTGAACGCACAGCAAACATACTGCTGCTGACCTGTGACACTTCGTCCTTTAGGCGGACGATGGCAAGGCGGGATGGATGCTGATGCAACAAAAATGTTTAGTGTCAAGAAGGTGACGTGCACGCGCATGTTCTGGAGTTAGTACGTGTGTTTTTCGGTGTTTTGCTGCATGTGGCCGAACGTCTTGGGGCAGTGTGTGCAGGTAGGATGGGAGAAACAAGTGTATGTTAGGGCTCATGACATTGGTTCGCCGATAGCGGTGCGATGGATTCGTAAGTGACCGGTAAGACCGATGCGTGATGTAAGGTCGCACTAAGGACGGGCGGGGACCACGTTAACACACTGCCGGTGTTGGAGTAAGTGGTTAATTTTAGTTCCAATGACGTTGTTGGTGACATGGACAATCCAGGCGGAGTCGGTGGTTTGTACGGGTTGTTGCGACGGCGGATTTGGAGATGTCCGACTAGTCAGACGTGTACTATAAACAGTACTTTTCTATGGGAACATGTTGGTAAGTGTCGGGTATTTGGGTAATTTAGCCGTGGTACTGGGAATTTGTGTGTCGCCCTACTAACTTTGGTCATTTCTGTGTGAGAGATTTCCTACACTACGACTTCAGATATCACGACTATGCGCCGCGCCTGTTGACTTCAGACGAGGCTTTTCCAAGGCAAAGGGAAGTCTTCAGGGTGTCTTTGTAAAGACGCTTTCGTCCGTCTTGTCTGTGAGCATCTATAGCAACCCTGCTGTACAATAGTCGCTTGAAAAGACGCAGTTCCATCGCAGCTGTATCTTCCTCAGCATTGCGTGGACGCTAAGGATTTCTGTTTTTTCCAGAACTTCCATGCCAGGGATCCCGGCCGATCGTCTCATGTTCAGTATTCCAGAAAGACCGGACATTCTGCCTTGCTACCTCAACTTTGATATTCATTGGAAGCAGCTAAGGTGGTGGTGACCTAACTTATTTGCTTGAATTTTGTACATATCTCCGTCCCTCGCAGGAGCGTTGTCAGGATGGCCGCTCGATACGTCCCCAGTGTTGTGTTTAGGCGAGGCTTGTAGTGATCCGCAACTGAATGCTGCAACCGACCGGAGGCCTAGTTGGCTTTGGAGGCCTGGTGCACAATGTTTTTGGAGATTATTATTTTCAGATAGGTGAATTTACCCGCAGATGCGAGATCCGTTTCACTTACGCTGGGCCTAAGACTGTTGTGCTCATTACATAGTACTAGTAGATAAATAACCATTGTCTTCGCCGCGTTTGGGTCATTCCGGAGAGTGTGCGGGTGAAGGTGATGATGATGATGGTCCGCCGCACAACTACTTCTCTCGCGGTTTTGAGCACGAAATTGCCAGCTAGTAGCAGATCATGAACACTGATCGTAGATATTCCTGTGGTTGCCGGTATGCGTCGATATTAATCAGCTATCCGTCAGTGCCGTAGCTATGTTGATTTCAGGCCGCCGCTCACGGTATACGTGCAGCAGCCTGCTAAAAAATATGAGACTGAGGAGGGTAGAGCGAGTACGCAGTCCTGCTTTACATCACTTGTACCTTGGACTTCTTCGAAAACTGCCGCTTTGTCCGCGACGCATACCTTAATTCAACTTGGGGTTTTCGAATCATCCGTGTGAATTGTTCCGCAATCCAAATATCAGCATAATTCCCCAGGGTCCATCGTGATCTTTGTCATGTCTACGAATACGGTTAGAATCTGCCCCATATTTCCTGGCATTCCTTTCATGTTTGACGGGCAACGAAGATCATGTCAATAATTCCGCTATTCATTTGAGATTCAAATTGACCTTCAGAAGTACTTCCATGCTCCAGGTGCTTGTTCATTTACTTTAGTAGGACTTAGGCAAAGAGTCAACCTGCGATTTTGAGAAGGGAAATATCTCTGTAATTGTCACAGAGTTGTCGGTTTCCTTGCATTTGGTAATGTACAGAAGTTCCTGAGGAATATGTCATTGTCACAACATCAGTAGCAATAGCGAGGTGAGCTTAACATTAGCCGAAAGCTGTCATGTTTGGAAATCTCAGGTGTAAGGGGGTCAACGTCAATTGCGGCGAGTGTCGACGGTCGAGGTCTGTGTTGGTTCCCGTTTGAGCAGGTTTGTGGATGGTTGGTTGGGGTCGCCCCTGGAGTGCTCAATCAGCGCTCCACGCTACGGGTTTTCTGTCAGGAGGGTTTTGCCATTGGAACTGAGCAGTGACGCAGTCGTCTTGGCTCAGGGGTTGTAGATCGCCTTGACGGAAGCGAAGACGTCCTTTATTTCATTGCGGCAGGCACATCATTGTACTTCTTTAGCCTTGTGAGTCACCCAAGTATTCAAAATTTTCGCAACCGCTGATGCACCAGGTCTTGATATTTAAGGAAAGTCGTTTTGCTAGTCCCAGTTCTGTGGTTGGTCTATATCTTGTGCAGCTTGTTCTTCCTGGGTTCAAATTGCGAACCTTCTCATCATTGTCATCAACTAAGTCCTGGCGTTAACGTACTTGGCTCCACTGAGCCCAAACAGTGACTTTTATTCCGCAGCCTGCATTTGTTCCAGACGGTGATTCAGGCGATTTTTAAAATCTAATTTGCACCTAGCTACGTTCAATAATGCAAACATTAACTTACCGGGTGTTCACTCACCTTACGGAAGCCTGAAAGGTTGCAGCTGACAGGACAAGCTATCCGTCCATCAGTTAGCATAATGAGTCGCCTTTGTCACTGGCATGCTCCAACGACCACAACTCAAAAAGAGGACATAGTCCAGCGGCTGATATTGATGTTAGTTATGACGCATCAGTATCGCCTTCCTCTTGATTGGGAGAAAGAAATTGTCGGTCAGGAGAAGACTGTGTTACGCACTGGGGGAGAAGTCCATTGCTGCTGTAGTTGACAATCTCGCGAAGGCCTACCACGCCCTCTCAGCCTACGTGATCTGTGCCGATGTTGATGTAAAAGCCCATAAGCGGAACCAATTTCTCTATTTTCGGAAAAGACGCCAGAAGGTCACGCAGATTTCCATAAAGCTTGTTCTTCGCGCCAGCCGAAGCGGTTAATGGTATGTGCTCGCTAAGCGCGGTATAGCTTCGGCGAGCCGCAGGTGAGAACTGGGTGTGAGTTAGGGCCCGTCCTGTGCAACCAGAACGGGCACTAGGCTCGTGGAACGGCCTGCCACTCCAACAGACTCTATGTCGTCTCACTGTGTCTGCGCTCGCATTCTGTGGCACCCACGGTTGACTTCGTTGGCCACGACGATCAAACTGTCGTATATATGAAGGCTTGAGATCACGACAAGACAGATCCTGGTCCTAGCGCCGACATAGGTAACCGTGGGTTATGCTTCACATTTGAACGCATGCAAGTAAAGCATGACACTGTGTACGTACCATGCCATGAACGAAACTGATGCACAAAGGCATATCCGGCTTCCTTTAAAAGTCTCATAGCATATTTGGTATGCTCCTACAGAAACTGAAAACGTCAAACGCACATTTCTGGAATATTCGAGCGTTGCGTCGTTGAAAATGCTTCTGAAAAATAATAAACTAAATTAATTTTCAATTTGTCACCGGAGGAAACTACCGCCCAAGAGAAAAAAGATATTTTGTTATCACGCATCTCTATCAACGCTCCCGTATTCAGAAGCAGTAACATCTCCATTCACGGTCTCTCTAGTTATCCTGATTGCATCTTCCTCCCAAAGTGCCTGCGCAAATTACAAGACACATTCTAGACCTTCTCAAATCATGCAGTAAATTCGTACTGAACGATGTATGCATACTACCATGGGAACAATAAATCTGTAGTATGTATCTGATGTCCTGAAGTAAGTCGGACTTGCCACTGTAAATGATAAAATGCATTGTTATATTTTATTCTTGGTGAAAATGCACGTCTGTTTATGTTTCCAGTTCGATTTTGTGGGCCTGTTTAGTATTTCCTCCTTTTTATACAAAATTCCGCATACTACTTGACACCCTATAATTTTTCTTGGTTTAAGGGCTACTGAATTTTAGCTACTTAAAGATGGGTCAGGTCTACGTGATATTTTTCTGGGATTCGGGCTAACAAATTTCAGCCTTAAGGTTACCCCTTGAGCGGGGAGGTCTGTCTCACATCCTTAAAATGTAAATTCCATCGTCTCCAGACATGACAAGTCCTGTACGTGCTTCAATATCTGATTTGCGTAAAGCAGGCTATATCAAACACCAGGGCCCCCGAAAACCCTTTCATAGGTCACTTTCCACCAATGCCTTATAAAATAGGCTTCGGGATTCACTGCACGCTTTATAAAACAGAAATTCGGTTTAGCGTTATTTTGCATACTTACCGTTAAATTGAGTCATTTGGGAAGTTTTACAACCCAAATAGAATGAACCTGCTAATGTAGGAAGGCGCACATAGCCTTTTCTTGCCCTCAGCAGAGCTCTTTGAAATCAACGCATGGTGGAAAGTCATTACTGGTCGAATTATGTGTGATGACAAGGAAAAAGTTACGTGAACCGTGTTTTGAAACTTATTTGTCTTCGTCCACTACCATCACTCCATCTCTGGGTCCTAAACACTGGCTATTAGAACCCAAACGCGTTCATCTTACGTCCATGGGAGTCTGGTTTTCACTGTTGAATTACCAAATGGCGATCTGTCGGCCATAAACGAGGCTGTAAACACCTGCTGAAATGCAGTACAAAATTCAATTAATTTGGTTTATCAGGGACCCTTGCAGGTAATCTTAGAAATTAGAACAGTTAAGATCTGGAGAGGTGTACGACAGATATGGTAGAATTGACACTGTTATTCTTCGATTATATTCATTGAGCTAAACTGTCAAGAAATCGGTTTCCTTACCAAGAGACTAATAGCGTCTTTGCATTCCTACTGTGCTGCCGTCACAGAAACTTCATCCGTTGCCTGGACTCCATGCCAAGCTTCCACTCGAAAATTTTTCCTGAATTAACTGCAAACTGTTCTCTTTCTCGCAAGCAACCGCGCTGAGGCAAAGGTGTGTATGCGGGAGCATGTGAGTGACTAAACCCCTGCTCTCTGGCTCACACATGAGCCTAGATGAAATCAGCTTTTGGAATTGGCACTGGTACTGGCGAAGTGATTCGTCAGTCAAATGTGACGACGCTTGTGTGGCCGCGCACTCCCGCACAGCGGATGCCCGTATTACATGACAGATTTATATGACTGTCTTGAGCCGGCCCTGTTCATCCGCAGTTTCTTATTGCAAGAAGACAACATGCCATGTCCAATACTGGTTTGGGGGGCGGGCATTACAACAGTGCACATGTTATTTTTGCCGAAACCGCAGTCACACTTTTCTCCACAGCGCCACACATGATGCGCATGCAGCTGCTCTTCAGTCGATCGATATTTTCTGTTGATTATTCGCAGAGCGTCGTGGCGCTCCAGTTAATATTGCTTTTACTGTCGGGCGCACGCACAATTGCTCAAACTGAGAATCAGGACTTCTGTTCGCCCAAGACGATTTCCTCGATTGCAGACCAACATCGCAACTACTTCGAAGGCCTCCTAACTTTTATGCCATCTGCTCTCATTCAGTCCTCGAACAACCTAGGCTGCTTATCGCACCGCCTGTCGGACAAGTTTGGACAGTTTGCTGGTGGCTGGTAGGGAGAAGAGAAAGTGAGGTCCACTCTGGGGACCCCGCTCCCTGGGCACTCCTCATTATAAGCAATTTGACGCGCTTTTAAATTACCACGATGCGCTAAAGTCCGTGTTTTGGAAGGCTGCCAACTAAAAAAGATAACTCCGTCCCACTCTCAGGATGGAGAGTCAGATTGCAATTACCTATATGGCACTCCCCCTCAGTTGGGGTCCAAGCCGTCCCTTTCCTGTTTCCACTAGAGTCTTGTTCATCGTGCGCGGACCACACGAAGAGGGGCTGTTGAGCTTTGTCAATTTACTGCGCCAGATCACGCCCTCGATCTTCTTGACTCTGTCTTGCCACTGGACCCAGAGGGATGAGGGGGGGAGAGTGCGGTAGATGCTGTGTAAGCCTACTATCGCTTTAAACTGATTCACCGGGCTTGCGCCCGCATGCTGCGACACACACACACACAGTGGACATTGTTATCCGCAACGGTCAACGCCTGAGATCACGATCAGACAGATTCTGGTCCTAGCACCGACATAAGTAACAGTGGGTTTTGCTTCACATTTGATTCCATGAAAGGGAAGCATGGCACCATATCGACAAGTACAATCAACGAATAATATTCGAGTGGGCAGAGTTAATCGCAGGACGATCTGGCGCTTTGAAGAACAACTAGTGACTGACAGGGAAATTGTTCATATTCGCAGCAGAGTGTACATCACACAAGAGAGTATTATAGGTCGTGCGACATATTAAGAGAAATAGGCAACGCCACAGCCGTAAATCTTCTGCTCACAGGCTGGTTGGGCGAAGTCCCCACTTAAACAACGCCTTCCATTTGTCCTAATTCTGTGTTTTCGGACTATGCCAAACAGTTGTGGTACATACAACGACTTTTTAGTCGACGTTTTCCTACTCCACGACCGCAGAGGTGTATTAATTAAAAATTGTGCTTGCTTGGTTTAGCATAGATTTCCTCGATGCGCACCTTTCTTTCTCTGTGGTTCATTTTATTTTTCTTCGAGAAATATAAGTCTTTCCAGCAAAATATCAGCATAATTCAAACCCGAATACAGTTAGCTAGTCTGTATGGAGATCCAGGTAGTATTTTCGAACTCCAGAACGCAACTATGCTAGTGAAAGATATTTTTGCAAAGATCAAGTAATAGTGATCAAGTCAGGGTGACTTTTTCTACATGCCCCTCATGAGGTGACGTGGTCCTTACGACTAGCTAAAGTATACCATAAAACCAGATGAGTCAGTCACCACATAGCGGTGGCGATGTCTCTCTAGTAAAGTAATTGACATAAGGCAGCATTCTGAGTTATCCTACAAGTACGATTGGAAAATTTCTGAGAAAAAGGTGCGGTCTCTTTAAGGATAATTTCATTCTCGCTGCTTTTCGGATTCTCACGCGAACATATATTACGAGATTGCTACAAGTAAAGGTGGTTGGCGCACAAAAGTGAAGTATTTATATGATGCAGTCGCCATTTAACCACAGATCTACCCTCATTTGCTGTCCCTTCATTCACGACCTATGGCCGTACTTGATACGCTTCTTACTTGCCCGGCGGCAACTTTACCATCGGTGTTGGTTATTCCCCTGCTAACGGCTCCGCTACGTGGTGCGCTGATGCTGTTACTGAAAGTGGTGTTCATCTGCGCGGTTCCCGCGTAAATAATTACTCTGCCCAGATAAAGTTTCGGCACTGTACATGGAGGGGATACCATTGCACCTGCTAACGAACTGGAGGCCGAAAACCCGTGACTCAGTCGACTGGCTGCCCACGCGATTGTCGTCTGTCGCGAAAACGTCAGCGTCGTCGAAAGGGGGATTTGGTTGTGTCCCGTGGATTGAGCCTCGACCTGAGAACTGACGCCATGCCTCCTCACTCAGCTAGATCTAGTAGGGGTGGATGCGAAAGCATCGAGTTATGAAAATGTCTATGGTTGTCCGCCTACGTTGATCGCGGCAATAACATACAGCCTCGGGGATGCTGCGATGAGTCCGGGCACTTTTAAAGGGCCGTTTCATATAACTTCGGTTGGATGTCATGAGATGGCTGTTAAAACATGTATAAATTTGGTAGGTGTTTAATAGCGCTTTACCGTTTCTACCTTTAAATTCACTTTTCTACACAAGGTACACGATGAAGCTTTCCTGTTTTGCTCGTCCGGCTAGTAAAGGAATATCATTTTTTCCTAGTATAAGACCAAACGTTTAATCAGTTAAAGCGAAGACCTGCAACATTCTGGTTTTCATTTAATAATCGGACTTCGAGGAATACGGTCAGTTATTCGACATCCTCGTGAGTATAAGGCTACCCATGACTACATTTTGTCTATCAGTACCAACTAAACTAATAATCATAAGCTTTTCCCTGTAGTTATGTTTTAAAACCAACGTCTGCGGCACGTTCTACTTAATTTTCAGTAGTCACTCTTTTATGGCTAATTAATGCATATTTACACTCAAGCAGTTTCTAACCTCACAATGCATGTCTCACGTTGACATCCGGCCAACCTCGTTTATCAAGTAGTGGTGAACATGGCTTTCTTCGACGTTTTAACGAGAAAATTTGATTATTTATCCGTACGAAATGACCTGGGTTGAAGATTTAAGACTAATTAATAGTAGCTGGCCTGCCAAAATTAAATTTTAATATTATTCATTACGCAAACCTTTGTCTTATCACACGCTCTTAGGTAATATACAGAACATACACAACCCTTCCTACACACCAATGGTACTTAGATTTTCCCTCGTTTGCATCAGGATGATGCATCTTCACCTAGACGCCGCACGTTTGGTGCCTTTCGCTGCAGAGCTATTGTTAATTACTGGATTCGCCATTACGCCAATTCTCTTAAATCGTCCTGAGACCTCATTCAAAAATGTAAACTCATTCAGTAAGTGGCCCGTAAGAAGGCGCAAAGCGTTTCGTTTTAAATTTTCCGTCTAGCCTTTGCTGCATGCGGATGTAGACCCAGGTCGTTTTGCCAGAATAGGAATGGGTGTAAGCACTGCAATAAATTTTCCATTTGCCCTATTTCCACTGGCCGCACTGTTATGAGCGCCTTGTAAGGCAAAAGCAACTCGAATTGGCTTGCTAAATCATAGCTAGTCATTTGAGCATCATTTATTCTAATAATGACACTTCTGCTACACAGCCACCCGTTGACAGCGGCTGGACCGCCGCATTATCCGACGCTTGACCTAAACACAATAGTTTCTATTGATGTTTGTGTTAGTACAAGCACAGAAACACCAGATCAGTCGTTTTTGCTCAGCATGCACTAACTACCCGCATTTACAGGTGCGGGAGTCGTCCTTCAAAAGAGAGGCTAATTCTGTCATCAATTCGTATTTTTGTTAGGTTTCGATCCAAACTAAAGTGTTCTCTATCCCGATTTTAATTGTGTCCTCAGGAAGACTTGCGGTCTCACCATGCACCGTCACCTCATCGAACCAGCTGGCCGCAAATAGCCAAGAAGTATTTCCCTAATGCTTCAATTTTGAATCTTAACATGAGTGCACTTTTAACAAAATTGTGTCTATAGAAGCGACAAGACGAGTCGCAGGAAGCAGTCTTGAGGAAGAAGACACGATCGCCGGGACAAGAGCTTAATTAGCCTGACGTTTCGGATTCCTGCTCGAATCCATCATCAGAGACAAAAGCAGATAAGGGTGGTTCATGCATATGCGACTGCAGTATTTATAGGATGCAGTAGCCATGCTACCGCATACCTATGAATATTCACGGCTCCCCCCCCCCCCATTCATCAGGGATCGTTGCACTTGGCGTGATGATCGACATTCGTGTCGTTAATTGCTGCAATTTCATCACGTGCGTTGGATGTTGGTGTGATGATTGCTCGACCATCTGGCGCGCTGACGGGGGTGTTAGGAAGAGGGTTCACCTGTGCGGTCCCCGCGTGGCCAATTACTCCGCCAAGATGAAGTCTCAGCACGGAGTATTGAATGGGAAGATCATTGCACTTATTAACAGACTGGGGGCAAGTAAACCATAACTCAAGCAGCTCATGGCTCACGCGGTTGTCACCTCTAGCAAGAATTTTGGCCTCGTCAAATTTGAATGTGGTCGAAACCCGTGGGATAAGCCGCAACTTGAAAGCTAGCGTCATTTCTCCGCACCGCTGCAGCGTGTTCGGCCATTCGCGTTTGGAGCTGTCTTCCGGTTTATCCGACGTAGTTGCTTTGTCCGCAACTGCACCAAATCCGATAAACGACTCCAGACGTTTCTAGCCGTGGCACTGGGTCTTTCGGTTTCATTAACTGACGCCATGTTTAGCAGAACTTGAGCAAAAGTCGACTCCACTAGACTTCAGGGTAACAATCGGGAGATGGCAACCAAAAAAATCCCCCTAACCAAAGCAGCCTGTCTTACGGGACAGGTGGTAATAGGGGTTTTATGGTTGGTCGCTGGTCCGGATGTACGATACTAGCCGACGGAAAGCCTTATTTGAAAAGGTGAATGATCGAAGTTGGCCCGCTCTCCGTTCCGTTATTAAAAAATGGGTCGCCAAAGCAGTATAGTGGTAGCGGACGAGTGTTAGGCGTATAATCGTCTTCCCTCAGAAGGTTATCTACATTTATCTGTTAACCACTCAAAGAACTTCAAGGACCCTGCCACCGGACGGCACACCAATGCCATTGAGGCATACTGGAGTAGACTGAAAAGGAAACTCCACGAGGGAGGCTCTGTATGCGGTCGAGATGTGTGGGCTCACATAGACGAAGTATAGTATCGTCTTTGGTTTGGCATCAATGCCAAGTCTTTGACAGATGCCTGGGAACTGTTTCTGTCCCATGTTGTGCAGAGTTATCCTATTTAAAATTGATTTTGTTTTGTAATAAACCGCCATAATGCGAATGTATGCCGTATATTCAGGTGTACGTGTGTAACAATGGGGAAGGCTGGGTAACAGCGACCATCGTCCATGTAACCTCCTGCGATGTTCGTTCGACCAGCCCATGTTAGGCCGTTGCGGAAAGTCTAAGTAGTGTGTGAAAGTAGGTCTGCAACCGCTGATATATCCTGAAGGCGTTTGAGTGCACTGTTAAAGGTATTATTTCTAGGTAACGGATTTTTTTGGGTGCCATCTCCCGATTGTTACCGACTTCAGTACTGTCATGAATCCATACACCCGTTCTTCGTCATATCCCGAAAAAGAGTTTGCACCCGTACCAGTAGTCAGACTAATCCGTCCCCTAAAGAGGAGGTTAGCATATCTTATTGGAACACGAATCCCCAAACAGTAATGGGCGACAACACGAAGTCGGATGTAACAGTACAAGTAGGAGTAAGTCATGCTACGTTTACCGACGATGTGCGATGACTTCGTCAAATTCTCTGTTCATTTTGATTATGCTTTGCCCAGCATACGACAATAGACAATACGTTTGTTCGGACAAATTGCTTTTAGCCTGAGTACATTTAACATGAATTTAGGCGTAAATTCGTATTCCAGATGTATGTATGAATAAGGAGAAGGCTGATTGAGCACCGGAAACATTTGTTTGTTTTTCTGAGCTTTTGAACTTGTGCAGCAGTCTACCTTCATAAGTAACTGTAGCGATAGAAAAAGCGACCGTTACAAAGGCTGTTAGCCAATGAACGATCGGTGACTCAGATTCAGAGTGACTGCACCGGGCTCTTTACGCCAGATCGATACATCGATTGACTGAGTACTCGTCCGGGGCCCAGGTTTCAATCAACTCCCAACTTGTCTTGCTTCCAGCGTGGACAATTATGCTGGTGGCAGTTAAGTTGGACTTGTGACCCGTTTCGAAAATCTAGACAGCCTTCACATTCTACCAAGAGGGATGTAGTGGTATGTAGACACTGATTTACTCCGAAACTCTAGCTAATTTTGACGCCGTTGTGTATTCATTCAGCAACTATATCTGAAATTGTGCTGACGTCAGAAATTGAAAGATATGGTAAACCATGCAAAATTGCTAACTTTCTCATGAAAACTTTTCGTGGATGGCTGAGAAGAGATTTAAATGGGATCCAGCATACTACCGCGTATGAATTATCCTGAGATGACGCTCCGAGTTAATTGGTGCTGCGAACGCACTAAAGTAGTTTTTCAGATTGATTCATATCTAGTGATTTCGATCAATGCCCAGCGCGATTCGCACATTCTTTGAATTTCATTTACAAAGTTTTATCTACCTGAGAAGTCCCATTGACTCTGTTGATGGTTGCCCACTTATTTGCAAACCTTATCCTTTTCCAACATGGGCATGTGAGACTAAACTTTTTCTGGCTAATTAGACATATTTATATTACTTTGAATGGCTTATACTGTGTGGTAGGATGGAAATTTGCATCTGGAGCCAAGATATTTCGTTGGAAATCGATTAATTTTTTAGTATAATTAATGATACTTCGTCAAATTCACCGGCGGATGATTGTGGATGATAATAATCAAACATGGTCGGTTTAAGGACCTGACATCCTGGTTTAATAACCTTTTGTAAATTAACAGAAAGCCAATTCCTTAGAATCAACAACTTGCAATATGCGATCAATATGCCTCTCCTGTTCTCGAATAAACTGGCGCTATATAGATATAGACATTCCGAGGCGTTTCGATTGCTGATTTACAAAGTTAATGGGGTAATATTTCATGTGCCTGTCTTCATGTTTTTCATAGTTTTTTTTGCGGACAAAGAATGTCGTGCTCCAGGCCCTTTTTCTGTCTCGTGGTAGTAGTTACCTTGCCACAGTTTTAGCTCCCGTATAAGAACAAGGTTAAATCAATTACCCTCTTTGGCACGTCGATTGGTTCCTAGTTTCATCTGTCAGAATATCTGTTCTTTTAACATCCCCGGCACACTCCTGACTATGAACTGTAAACTAAATTTAATTGTTCTTTTAATTATGGAAAGGCGACATTTGCTCAGACAATCGTCTTTCGGACTGCATAATGATATATGACCGTCGTTTAATACGATATATTCAGCGACGTTTGGAAATCTTGCAGGTTTCGGCTATCATTGGAAGGTCTTCATCCGTTGGCTTGCGAATTTTTTCTCTATGTTTTAGTCGTTTCCCACTGATTTTATTTGTACCGGCCTACTTCTATTGGGAATTAGAACACCTATAACACAATAGAATTATTTCCATGGAAGAAAATCAATAAGGGCAAATAGCTATAATACGAATCCTCCTGCATGCTAGTAGCATCCTTATTTTTTGTTTTCCGACCAAAGACGTTCCGACTGGCAGCAAAACTCTATTATAATCTTTTACAAATATCAGAACCTTCATAAAGACGGCAAAATTAAGACCGGTGTTAACTTTGGATCAGCACAGATGATCAGGTATTGTGTCACTTGGTGCCGCTCCCTCAAAACCTGGCAGAATTTGATGAAATTACCGCCTGCCAGTAAAAAATGCAGTCTTCTTTGACTGACCACGGAGATGGGGTTGGTGTTTTACAGTTTTCATTTTGATACTCAGTGGTTGACGCAATTAATTACGTTGATGTACACCTTAAATGAAATCAATTAAAACAACAGTTTAGCCCTAATGACTTGAAACATTTTCAAATTTAACTTAACTATGAAATACGAATCCAAAACAGGCAGAAACGCGCTGAAAAGTTAAATAAAATTTGTCTCAGGTGCTCTACATACGGGACTATTGAGAAAGGCCCTCCGCCGCCTGTGCGTACAATCCTTATCTCCTGGTATAACTGCTGTGGCGAACTCACGAAAAAGAGCAGTCGATAACAGTTTGGGTGTCAGTGGTTCCACTCAGTCCTGGGCACTTGTGAGCTGACTGCGATGCCTCTTGCCTTTACATAACCTGTGGTCATAGCAATTTTTCCAGGTGTTAGATAACTTGGACCATCTCACGCATTAAAGAGGTTACAGTATAATGATGCGTAGTGTGCCCATAAACGGTCTATCGTTGGAATTCAGGCAGAAGTGTCGGCATATGAAGACGGCCAGCCTGGTGGGTCGCGGACAGGAAATAGCTATTATTCACACTGTTTGTTCATTGTAGGTCTATGAGCCGATGCTACCCCGGCCGCATTATTCCTATCTGTTTGAATTCCTATTTCCAAAATGCATGATAAAATTGCTTGCGGCCATATGACGCGCCTGGCCGAAGCATTCAATGGCCCATTAGACTATCCCGAGCATTGGTTTAATTTTCACCTTCTCGTTTCTGGAATACCTCCTTTCATAACTCCTGATGTGCACTTTTTCTGCTCTTAGATGAAAACAATCCAGAAACAAACGTATTCTGGAGCCATTGGCGTGGTGCCGTGATAGGTAATCATCTATATTAATGTTGACACTTTCCCCTCGAAGGTTGCTCAATTTTCCTGGCACTCATTGCCGTCACCGTCCTCTTTGTGCTTCTTGTCTGCTACTGTGCAGGGTAAGGCTATAAATTCCATTTTGAATGTCCTTGCTGGGTTCTGGTCACTTTGCCTACTTCTATAACTTTTCATATCCGTTTGGCATCTTTCTCTGAAATTTGGAACCGTTAGTTTTTCTGGAGTTCAGCCATCAGTCATCACCGTGCTCTTGTAACCACAAGAACTAAACTAGGACAAACACTCTAGAAAAGTTTTTGAGACCCGTATGAAGCGGTGGTTGAGTGGAGTCAAACTGACCGGAAATGGGACCTGAGTCTTTTGCGCGCCTCATGTTTGACTGATCCTCACTTAGGGCCAACACAACGGTGACATTTTTATCCGGGATCCCCGTGTATAAGTCATTTTTCTCCGTTTACAATAGCCCGTGATTGCGCTATTCCCCCATGCACCTTCTCATCCTTTGCAAATAATTCTATCATGCACTCATAAAATTACAGGTTTTGCTTCAGTCTGTTGCTTTCTCTTTGTCGCGCTCTTTCTCCAAACGCACTCGGATAAGGTGAACATATTGGTTTGTTCCCATCCCTAAAATATAGGCAATCTACCTCGCCAATGTTTACTATTTCAACTGCTAGGAAGTCGTTGTGCCACTTCTCAGGGACAAATGTCATCAGTGAATATTTCACCGAATGTGAATCCCACCAATACACTTTAGTTTAATTTATAATAATAGTTTGGTAAGAAGTTCGGTTCTTGGTACATGTGCTTTCCGGTGATTATTTCTTCACATTAACTATTTCTTGTGTTCCCTCCTTGTTGGTAGATTAACAGTATGTATTTTCTATTAAAAACATAATAAAGGTGCAGCTAGTTTTATTAAAATCAGATTCATGCGGTTTTCCGTTTATTAGCTAAGCTACCTTAAATCTTCCATTGAAAATACTAAGTCATAGGATCAGGATTAGTTCAACCAACGCTGACACTTTCATGCACTGTGTCCCATTGCGGAACTAAAATAAATAATTCCTGTTTCGCTCCCTGAGCGTTCGGGTTGATAATTTTATTGTATCGAAGGGAAACCCTGGTCCTATCCAGTTTGATTAGATGTCTGAAATTACTTCTATTCAGGATAGCACATCTGAGATTTGGACCCGAGTCCATTGTTCATCGAGCACTGTTAGGTCAGATATTTCAATACATGATCTGCGACCGCAAGTTCTGTTGCCTATTTCCGTCCCGAAATCTGGAAATAGCGGTATAAATATATCGTATTTGGGCTCGTATTACCTTGAGGCCGCTTTACTTTTTCTTTTAAAAAATGTCTGAGTGCGGGTTTAGCACACGAAGTGCACAGTACAACTCGCTCTGGAATGACTTCTTAGGGTCCGTATCGAGAAGTTGTTTTGGAAAGTCTAACCTGCAGCCGAAGGAATAATGCAGCACAGCCTAAAATTAGAACTTTTACTCCACACGATCCACTTCTCTCAAGAGGCGTTCTAAACTTTCGGCTCGTTACTCCTGAAATGCAAGCATTTTAAAGACGGCACAATACTTCAGATTTACTCTTCCCCAGACTATCACGTATTTGCCTCAATGGGATTTTTGTCCATTCATTGATCGGAGAGCCAATCTCAGGCTAGCAACTCTCAAAAAATGATTTGGATAGGCTCGGCCGAAAAGTGGGCAATGAGGTATTCTCTGCGGTTTGAGATTCCACTCAAATTCCCGTTGCCCGCAAAACATGCTCTCTTGGCTTCACAACGACCTTGGTTTGCCGTGCAGACACAGGAAAGCACAAAATACAGGCAGCGTGACGCATCCCTTTCAAGGCGGCTGCCAAACCGTCAGCACTTCCTACTGCCTATCCCATATTGTTTTTTTCCTCAGAAGAAAGACAGACAAACGAGTTTATTTTCGACAATCCTGGAAGTTATTCATATCCTATGCCGAGGGTTGCACTTCCAGTGGTAAAATGCATACATAAATATCGGTCTGTTTGAGGGCACACCTCGCTAACACCACATCCCGACTTCTCAAAATCACCATACTGTTTGCTCTGGTTAAGTAGATTCATGGGACACTCAGTTAAGGGAAGTTGTCAGTACGCGGATTAAGAAGCAATGCTTGTGTTGATGTCGCAAGTCAGTGCGAACTAGTCGCTCGCCGCTAAACGTCGAACATTTACATGCAATTCGAATATCAAATAAAATACGAAGTGAAGGGTCTGTCTGGTGGATGCAAATATAGCATTCAATTGTTCATAACTCCCGTTGCTTAACTAGCCGTGATTGTCGGTAAGAAACGGTAATGGGAACCCACCCAAGTTATACAGGTGTCCTTGGGCCAGACTCCAAAATGTTGCCTCTCTCCGTGTCCTAGTCAAAATATTAAACCCAACCCAGAATCTAGCCCTAACTCTGACCCTCATCTCTCTGGAATTTTGCGCAAGGCCATCTTTATTACGATGGCAGGCTGAGGGCGTCACAAACGTTGTAGTCAGCAATGTAGTTTAACTGGAGAATGTATAATGGGGTTTCCAAATTAATAAGTTGATGGAGTGACAAGAGATAGAGCTGATAAAGTACACTGACTCATGGTTTGCTGTCTGAGCTGAAAACGTCTGTATCAATGGACAGCTCCCTAATATCCTCCACATCAGGCCCTCTGTCCAGATGCTAATCAACGATTTCAAAGCTGTATATTTTACGTTCTGAAGCCCCTATTGCACTCTGTCGCGACAGAGTGTTTTCTCAGGGGTAGTTGCACTTCACTGGGCCAGCTGTGTTGAAGGGAACTGGCGTAAAATGACCGTTTCTCCTAGAAGTAGGTTTACTCGACTGTAATTCATGTTTTTATAGTTATGCCTCACAATTCCGCTTTTATTTTAAGAATTTGAAAACACCGCATTCCCATTCAGTGCATAGGTTAAAAAACGCCCTATATAGCATATAATTAGGTATTGACAAGTTGGCGGCTGCGTAGGGTAAACTGTGTGCAAAACCATTCGTAATATGCATCTACCAACACTTTCCGGAACTGCAATAATGCGGGGCCCACGCATGTCAAAATAAGTGAGTATAAAGTTTCTTGAAATGTCTTTGCAAAAGTCCTTCGACTCGCTGAGATGACAGCCGCTGATCATGTAAGTAGGCAAATGATCACCATCTTTAAATAATTAGCTGCGGACGAAGACGATGCAAGGAAGAACATTTTTTAAAGAGTCCGGTACGAGTTACGTAGGTAATCACTTCATTTTAGGCCGACAAAATGAGTTCTAGAGTTCTGCGATCTATAGCGAAGTGTAAAAATTTCTTCGCATAACAGTCCAACCGGCATTAGTTCGCGTTTTGACCACCAAACCCTAACATGTCTTTAGAGCGCAACTCTGTAGCATCTAAGGTTTCACTAGTTAGATAAGAAGTTGAGAATGTCAGCCTTTGAAAACTGTTATCAACAGAGTAAACGGACACTGGAACTAACATTTTGTCCCACTTGTCGTCTTTACTGAGTTAGCTCAGGCCATTGTTTTCGCGTCGTCGAAGTCAATACCTAGTCCTAGCGGGTTATCTAGTATTTACGTTAAATTCCGCTTTAGCCAGGGAGCTTCCTTTGTCGCGAAAAGGGAGACACGATCGCTGATACAAGAGCGTTATCAACCTGACGTTTCGGATTCTCACCGGAATCCATCATCAGAGACAGAGTCTGAAAAGGGTGGTAAATTGCCCAGGTGTTGGAGTATTCATAGGATACAGTTGCTAGGCCGCTACATGCCTATCGCAGTTGGCTTACTTTGCGTTGGCAGTGACTTGGAACAGGCAATCGGAATAGATTGGTGAACGTCGCCATTATTTTTCATGGTCTTGATCTCAGTTGATACTGTGTGGGTCCTACGACTCCAGTGGTGTGCAGGTTTGGCTTCAGTGCTTAAGGGCCGCTGCATTTAAGCTGACACCTTAGGTGAGCCAGAATCGGGATTAGGAAATCACTGAGGACAAATGAGTCCAAAACTAACACTACAGTGTACTTCTTGATTTGTAGTCGCTAAATGGCCGCCTGCATGGGCTCGATACCTGCAGCCCCAATTCATCTTTACTTTATTTTTCAATCAGGAAATATTGGTGGGCATCACTCTCTCACTATCAGCTTTTACATTTTCGCTTCGAAATATCTACTTTTCGACTAAGAAGTACCCTTATGTGTGAGTCGACTTAAATGAAGTGGGAAATCAGAAAGTGTTTTTAGGTGTATATCCAGAAATAATAGATCGCGAGCTCTGAATTTCCGAAAGTCATAGTTTTTCAGCTGTCATTGAGTTTGACGAATTGCGGAGGCAAGTGTGCCACATTGTCAGTTTTGTGTTTCCAAAGCCCGTAGCTGGTTTCTGTTAGAGTGATTCCATGCTGAATATCACCCTTAAAATCATGTCAACTATCTGTTATTGTACTTCTTCACTACCCTACGAGAGGTGCTAAAATGCACTATTGACTTACCAACTGCCAGGCGGTTGGTACCCTAGTATGGACTACTACAGTTTATCTTGCCGCAGACTCCATCACAACGGCGTCTTAGTCCTGTTTGAGATCAACTATGTTTGGTAAGCTGCCTTATTTGCAATAAAATAATTCCAGACGGTCTCGTGACAGATCCTGTTTGTTTCAAACACAGCCATGTGGCATGCGTAACAATTTGCCATCTTGAGCTTAGGCCGCAAATTCACAGGATGAAAAATCCGTATTTCAAGGGCTCGTCACATTCTCGGAACACAGTCGTCATGAAAGATACTAGGGTTAAGCTTATTCATAGCTAGCCAGTCCCTATTATAGACCTCCAGACCATCTATAATAGGGGTAGGTTTAGGTCGTGTCACTTTCCCAACGCGGCGCTTCTTCTCTTTCGCATAATTTAAGTATCACCTTCCGATATTTCACTGGCATAAGGAATGGGAATGGGGACTACCGTAATACTGGTGACTCTGGGCTAAATTCCAGGAGCGATGGTTATTTCCGTATCCCAACCCTAACACTGGCTCTAACCCTAACCTCAGCCGTAGCCCTAAGCTCCCTGAAGTTTCGCGCAAGGCCACCTGTATTACGGTGGTAGGATTCCTATTCTCGTGTCCTACCCTCTTTGATCCCACCGTCAGTACTTTCCCAGTTTTTTCCACACTAAACTCCTATCAAGCAGAGTAAAAAAACAGTGTTTTATACTCAAAGTTCAGTCCCGCTTTCTGTTGCCAAACCGTTGATCTGACGTCTTGTTAGGCCATGCATTCTTCCGCCCCCCTCTAATTGCTCTCCCATAAAATCATGTTTTGTTAAAAAGAGACTAAATTCTGTCACACTCTATCTCCCCTCTCCCACCTACTGTCCGGGCATTTCTCCCGACTGGTAATGGGGTTGGGCGTAATGCCTGACTCGGTGTTAAGGGCTCCGTCTGTGTGTGCCTACCGTGATACGGTGAAATCAAAGGACTCACGCAGACATACCATAGCTAGGCTAATACATGTCAGGATCTAATGCCGGTTCCTTGTGACTCAGCACAACAACCCCTATTTTGAGGCCCGGAGTGAGGGTGGCAATAAACCGGTCCAACAGGCATTAGCTTTGTTTTAAAGCACGAAGTAAATATTGTTTACTTAAATAGAGATGTAAAAGAATGAAGAATAGAGAAAAAGGCAATGATTAGTCATCAAACCAAGTGCAATGGCACAAAGGGGAAAAAACTTACTCAGAATGAAGATAAGTGAAAGCCCGCACTGCCTTAGGTAATAGATGGGTAGGTCAAATCATAGCCGTTGGACTTCCTGGGAATGAAATTTCTAGACACATTTCTGGCAAATGCAAAATAGCTACGATTTGAAGCTTTACGCCTACTTACTTCCCCCCTCCCGCCTGCATAAGATGAGCACACACTTTGCAATTAGAAGTCTGCCCCGACAAGACCATCTCACGCCTGTGCAAATTTCCTCAACTTCTCACGGACGGCTGGTTTCGTACCTTGCATTAAAAAGCCTTGACGACAGCCCTCTTTCCCTGCCAGTCCCGTATAAGAGTTCCCCAGAGCTCTCGTTGACTCCGACGCACTTGAGTTAGCTTCTCAACACGTCCCTATGCTGTTGATCCTGTCCGCCATGTCTGGGATAACGAAGCAACAGTGGCATGAAAATGCTGTTTTGAAGGACGATTCCTCAACATTCCTAGGGGACGATTTGGTATAACACCACATTTGCCCGGGTATGGTCTCTGAGCTGAGTTTTGAGGGATGACTGATGAGAGCTGGAGGTCAGGTTCGGTCAGAGTGTAATGGCCATGTCATACGGAAGGGCACTCAGTGTAGTTGTCAATCCATCCAAGTGTCTACCTGTCCGCGGGGGCCTGAAACGGTCCTGACACCTAAACTTACTGCGATTATTTTACGCAAGTGATTTGGGGACGGGAATATGTCCCCCACCCAGTACTGCAGATGGCCTTGCGCCTACTTGCAGGGGTATGTATTTCCGTGTCAGAAGTTTAATCTTAACGCAAACTCTAACCCTAACACAACCCCCTCCCCCGTGAAGTTTACAGTATGGTCGCCTGTAATATTGGGGGGGTCCTATTATCGCGCCATATCTGCAGATGAACTGTATAATTTGCCTAATTTTAGAAAAAAGGACAAGTCAAAGAAGGACTCTAAAGGAAAGAGCATGAATCATTATGGCGATTCTGTGCCTGGAAACCCACCTCCTTACCAATCCAGTTACGTACCGCAGTATATACAACCACCGGAGGAGCGCAAGTTGGCCCCATCCGCGCAGATGCTTCATTACCAATATAAGCGGGATCAGATGCAAAGTGCTGAAACGTAAGCTACGATCATTTCGTCACTTCCAAACCTCCTCCCACCCTCAGGCTAAAACCTCCCATCCCCGTCTCAATAAAAACATTGTGAAAGGCCAACTTTTTAACTTTTTTAAGTAGACGATTACAACGCCATTACAGGGGGTATTTACGAAAAGAGCTACAAATATCAAATCATGCCGACTTCTGGCGTATAAGGTATGCAGTCGAGAGCGGTAATTTACAGTAGTGCATATTGTCCAGGCACTGCCTTTATGTAGCTTCTCCCTTTAAATTTTCGGCTCTGAAACCTATTGTCATTTTGTTTTTAGAAAAGCGATTTTGCATCAAAATCAGTCCACGGGGTTTGATTCCGTCTCTCACAACTCTTTTTTCTGAAATAACATTGGTGTAGCCGACCAGCGTGGGAGATGAAACTGTCCCCGAGAGCTTAAACATTTGTTAAAGTAATGATTGTAATAAGAGCCCAATTAAAAGGATAGATAGAAAATGACACTTACGTGTTTACTAGCATTCACTTGAAGTACTGATGCACAATCTCGATGTCGTTTGAAATTATGCGATACTGCGATCGGATGGGCCACTTTCTCAGAAACCGGAACTCACCTTTATCAAGCCGTCGAATTCTGTAATAGTCAGAACACTTTTTACCATCGTTCTACTTTTCTTTTACTCATCCCTGTTTTTACAGCAAATTGAACAATCTAGATGAGACGCGTGCTGTGCATTCCCCCGATGCGGACGACGCCGGGGTTTATGAGTCCGCTGGACTTGCACAGGTATTTTTTACATTACCTTTTTTACCTCAAGTTCAGTGCAGCTATTACCTTTTTTCGCGTTATCTGACAAACCTCATTTTCAGTATGCGAATTCTCGTTTTGTTACTTGCATCTATGAGTTCGCTCTGAAAAATCACTTCTTGTGCTGGCAGGTTAGTAGTGTCAGGAGTCACCTTCGGATTTTTCTGTGACAAATTCAAAGCGTTTATTGTGGCCACCGGCTTTCAACTGACGTCATCTCTACCTCAAATTTACTATGAGTATTTCCTTGTCAGCTTTTCTTACTCCCCTCGTTTAGATGAAGTAGGCACACGGTTTATGGCGGTTTTTAGTCCAACACGGTTGTTTTTTTTGACGCAACCACGGAATTAATCCATCAAATTAAGCCTTTTTAGACACTGACTGCCGAACTCCAACGACGCTCCTGAAAGATAAGTTGCGGCATTTCACATTCAGAGAGAAATTCGCTCCCATGGGCTATAAACTTGCCATCAGTCTTGGTGTTTGCCCGTGTAACAACGCCCGATCGAATCCCCAACAGGCCCCGACTATTATCTTCGTCGTGAAGTCTCGAAAGAAACTTTCTAGCTGTTATCTCCCCCTTCTAACGAATCATAAATTCCTTTTTGCAAATTTTCGGCTCTAAGAAAGGCATTCCTGTGCACTCGGCAAATCGTCTTCAGCGTTGGGCAACCATGCTCCTGGACTATGACTTTGATGTCCAGTTCCAGTCTATCACAAAAATAGGCCACGGGGACGCACTCTTGCACTTAATCGACTCGCGGATTAACGAGCCTGAGAACACTGTCATAATGTCAGTCTCCGTTAAGTTAGAGATTCAGTCTGTTTATGGATCCACTTCGTGCTTTCCCAGTCACTTTTGAGGGAGTCCGAAACGCAACATATCAGGATCCACGGTTGAGACGAGTCACTACGTACTATCGCACACAGTGGTTCACAAGATTCTCTGGAGAACTACAGCAGTTACATGAACGATTACATTCTCTGTCGACCGCTAACGACCCTATCCTGTTCTGTGAACATATTGTTCTTCTACAGAGACTGCAAGCAAGGGTCCTGAGGCAGTCTCATTTGGACATCCCGCCGTCAAACGCACGAAGACTCTCGCTCCGGCCTTGCATGGATCAACAATTAGAACTGGCCTGCTCGTAAACTAAATGCGTTCTCGCATCAAAGACCCCAACGAGGGCCGCACTCAAAGCATGACCTGTCTCACAAGCCCCGTGGTGCAGGATCCACACCGATTACGCTGGACCGATCAATGGCCAGAACTCCCCTATCGCTGTCCACACATAGAGCAAATGGTCGGAAGTTTTTCTAGTGGAACGCACAACAGCCGGAGCCACAAACAACTTTTCTGAAACTGTTCAGTAGATTTGGTTGTTGATGAAAACGAACAAGAGAGTTCCAGGGTGCAGTTCTGATGAAGAAGAAGAAGATGCGATCGTTGGAAAAAGAAGTTTATTGGCCTGATGTTTTTGATTCTCACTCGAACCCATCATCAGATACAGTCGCAGAGAAGGGTGTTAGGAAGCACGAGGTGCGTAGTATTTATAGGCCACGGTCGCCAGGCCATCACACGCCTACTATATTTCGTAGTACTTGTATTCATCGCCGGGGGCCGCAGTTGATGCGATGACCGCTTGTCGACCCGTAACCGTAATTTCATCACCCCTGTCGTCGATTCTCGGTGTGAAGACTGCTCGGCCACTTGGCTCGCTGTCACCGTGACTGCTGATCACCCCCACCCTCCCAGCATGACTAGTAAGTCGATCCAGGCAATATCGGCGCACAGAATTTGGGGGCGGAATGTCACTGCGCCTGTTAAGTGGTTGGTTGTCCCAAAACTTTGGTGAGTGATAATGGAGGGCGGTTCACATCTGCCGCCTTCGTCCCATTCTGCATGCGGTCAGGCATTAATCACCTGCGTTCGCTAGTGTATCACTTGAAGTCCAACGGACAGATTGAACGATTTGTCGACAAGCTCTAGCGGGCTCTTCAGAAGTGAAAAGTGAAAGGGACTATGGAAGCAGCCCTCGAAATAACCCTGTTGAGCTGCCAGCCATCCCAAACACAAACACGCCAAACGGTGTCTCTCCTACAGAAGTTTTGATTAAGAGAAAGCTTCGCACTCCATTCGACGTCACTGTCTCGATGTCATCTGTCGGAGATCAGCAGGAAGTTGCTCACGAAACAGTCCACCCGACGTCGATGCGGAGGAAATTCAACCAACGCCACGGAGCAAGGCAACGGTCGTAACAACCAGACGAGGTGTTAGCAAAGGACTACAGGAACACCCAGGAAAAGTGAACGCTTAGACGTGTTCACCAAAAGTGTGGTGACGTCTACGAGATTCTGGTCAGATCAGTTATTTGGGTGGGTCACATCAATCAGCTGAAACACACCGAATCCGCTGACGCACCCAAACTCACGCCATAATATATCACTGGAACTACTACTGAAAATATTTCATTTGCCACAACCAAGGCAAGAGCTCACAGTTCCGGTAGAAAGACGATATTACTAATCACTCGGATGTTTGGGCCGCTAAAGAACACAAATGATTCCATTGCAAGTGAACCCGTCGCTAAAATCGTACAATTTAGCTCAAAGAAGGGAACTGTGCGGAGAAGCCATATGAACAAACTCGCTCGCACGCCGGCCAACCCATCCATCCACATGCCTTGTGCGTGTTGATGTCACGCCAGCTGCCGACAAAACTCGAGATCAACCCAAACAGACAGATGAGTCAGACGTTCTGTCAACATGTAAGCCACTCAAGGACACTGTCTGATTTGTCCGATGTCAGTTCAATACGCTGTTAAATTACGTCAATACACTCGCCCTCCTTCTGCCCTCGCTATTGGGTTCTCATTTTGGGATCCGCTCGAGACGTTACACTAGCGACCACTGAGGCTGTTGGCAACTGTATAACATCGTGGATTTACTTGCCCACGAAACTTACCTAGGCTACATAATCTGTGTACAGTTTTTTGAACTGATACAAGCGAAGATGCGAGTCCCAGGAATTTATTGATAACCAGCAGAAGCGATCGCTGGAACAAGAGCTTTATTCGCCTGACGTTTCGGGTTCTTGCCCAAGCCCATCATCAGAGACAGTGGCCGAAACGGGTGATGCTTGCGCAGGAAGTTGCAGTATTTATAGGATGCAGTCGCTATGCTACCGCACACCTATGATAATTAACCGTTCTCCCTTTATTAAGAATTGTTGCCCGCTGATGCGCTAATTGTTTGATAGCCGGCACGCCAGTTGTTAATTGCTGAAATCTCATCACCCTTGTTGAATGCTGGCGTGATGATTGCTCGACCATCTGGCTCACCGACCTGCGCGTCCCCCGAACGATTAATTACTTTGGCATGACTATGCTCCAGCACTGAATACGGAGTTGGGATGTCCCTGCACTTGTTGATAGACTGAAATCCCGTAAACCATGACTCAAGCAACTCGCGGTCACGCGATTATCACCCCGGACGAGAATTTCGGCTTCATCGAACTTGAACGTTAGGCTGGGTCTCGTCCAATGGGCCGTGACCTAAGGGTTGGCGTCATTTCTCCGCACCGCCGCCGCATGTTCGACGATTCGCATCCGGAGCAGTCTTCCAGTTCCTCCGACGTAGTCGATATGCCTGCAATCGTACCAGATCCGGTAAACGACTCCGGATATTTCTTGCCATGGCAGGGGATTTTTGGTCTCATCACCCGTCGCCTTATGGTGGCCTCCGGCCTGTGGGCAACTCCAACCCCAAGTGGTGCGAGAAGGCGACTAACGGTCTCGGAGACTTTTTTTAATGTATGGGATCGTTGGCCAGAATTTAGGGTAGGTACGATTTTGTCGCTTGTCTTGTTTGCGCATGCGCAACTTCGCCAACCGGTGCATGCGCAAACGAGACAAGCGACAAACTCGTACCAAGCCCAAATTCTGGCGAGCGGTCCCATGTATCAAGAACGTCTCCGAGACCGTTAGTCACCTTCTCGCACCACTTGAGTTGGAAGAAGGCCTCCGTCTGACGTGTGTCACACGCGTGTCTCGTCTCCGTTAAAGTCTTACGGATTTGTGCTGGACATTGCATGTGTACATTCCGTACTACATTTGCTGACCATTCTCTACATATCTTTCCATTATAGACAGGTCCCAGCGAGGTGAAAAATCCCCTCTTCCAATAGGCCCCCTTCCTCCTTCGCCGGAATAAACGCTGCAGGCATGCCGCCTGCGATGTTTTAGATCTTCCCTCGGTGGCTGCCCTATTTGTCATCAAGCGATTTGCAGCAGGCATTGCGGCCGCCGTAGCGATCAGCTGTTGATATTTCCCTCGCCAGCCCTCAAGCACAGAACTTTAAGTATGACTCTGGCAATGTTGGATCCGCCCAACTGGGCCATGCATGCACGATATTTTCATGCCGTCAGTTGATGCCGTACCGTTTTCACGTTTTCTTTTTCTCACTCGCGGACACCATTATTTTGCTCATTTATAAGTCTTTCGCTTCCCATGTTTGTCAACTCAGATCGTCCAGTGCATGTAGGGATATACTATGAAATAACTATTTTTACAATGGTACCACTAGCCTTATGTCAGAGGACGCGTTCCGAAATTGTCATGCTGTTTTTCTCGGCGTTTGTTTGCAAAAGGTAAATTTTAACTAACACTTTTTGACTTTATAAGTGAGTAATCATTCGGGATGCTTGGTACGTGACCTCTCTGAAATTATCCTAGGAAGAAAGTGTGAAACCCCGGAGCCCGTGCGATTGACATTCGGATCATTATGGCAATCGAGGTCCATACGTCTAAACAATTGATCGGTGATTCCTACGGTCACCCTTTATTGTCAATTCGCATTCATTTATTATAGAAATACGGCCTTTTCCTGTTACTTTTAGAACCGTATGTTATAGGCAAGATCTCAGCGATTGGCGTTAGTGCAGTGCACGGATGTTCGGACGTAATTTTGCGATTCCTGGAAACCAAAACGCAGGGAATTTTTAATCTTCGTTTTTACAAGCGTTGATAACTAGAAAAGGATCAGTAGGTAGAACTTGTTGCCAATTGACTCGTCCACCTCAATTGACATCAGCCTCCTTCGCCTAAGTAACCTTTAGTGGGCAAACGAAAAAGAAGCCCACCTTTTGTAAAAAAAGCCTGAAAATTGGAAAACACAACGTTTTAAACTCATATATGCGTTCGCCACTAGACATAATTGCAACATTGAGCACCGCTTTTGCTAAGGGTAGTTCTAGCAGCATCGGTGACCCAAATGTGACTATTGGCAGGTCGATAACGTCGAATAAGTGAATTGAACTTGTTTTTCATGACCGCGACCGCCTTTGGGGAAGTTTCTGTGTCCGCTCTCGACGTGGCGTGCATATTCGGTATAATTCCGTGCGTAGACAATGCGCTTAGACGGAAATCTTACGCAGCTAGAGATGACAGGGGCGCGTGTTGATTCTACGGTAATTTCGTCGTCCTAGTCCACGACGGCGTTTCTCCTCGCCTGACCGCTCGTGGTGATTCTGTAGTTAACCCTAGTCATTTTCCCAGCGCCTGATATTGCCTGTCCACCGTTGGGTGCCTACAAAAGCCACAAGGGTCTATTAGGTTTGGGGGAGCATGTCAGCGGCCGAACGATGTCGAAGTCTTGCGTCGAGTCCCGAGTTTACCTTGACAAAAAACGTCAGTAAGTACTTGCGTCACATTCGATCAAATAATCAAAAAGGAGCTGACTCAGCTTTCTCACTGTTCCGACGTGCTTTTAGCGCGCTGGCGGTTCTCTGCCAGTTTTTTCCGGCGTAATTTTATTTGCACGGAATGCACCAGACAGGGGTAATAACAGTTATGCGTCTTGGCTGGTAGTCTATGGTCATATGATAAGACTTCCTACTATTGTCTCCAATCTATGAATAATGTTGCCCAGAACAAGAAGAAGACGGATATTTTTCTATGACCGTTTTCGGCGCGTGGTATAAAATGACTTCGAACATCCTTTTATTATGCTCCAAAGTGATGGGGGGACTGTACAACCTAGTGATTAACACTTCCTTGGTCTAAAACAGGGGTACTAAGGCAAACACTCTTCATCAGCTCAAATTTTGTAGAAATTCTTTTACGTTTAGATACCTCTCTGCTACATCCAAAACCTGTAAATCTGAATCACGCATTTATTGACAAAAGTAAAATAGTAGATGGGCTGCAGACGCTTACTCAAATAGATCACAACCTCCTTGGAAATACAGAGTGGTGTGAAACAAAATGCCTTGATGACTTTTGATTAAAAATTTTAAGAGTGCATTAACGAAGTTTACGTGAAATCTAAAACTCACACTGTCAAACTAACTTTGCCTTGAACGCACCAATACGCAAGTCAGTTGGTGCAAGGCAGACTTGTTAACATGTCTTAATTTATGTGACTCACATAATAGTGCACCAGTCATCTGTGCTTCTATGAAACAGACAATGCCTGGAAGAATTTGGTATGACAAAGGCTCGAAAATACAAGAATTCATACAGCCAGAAATGTTTGTTGTCTCCGATGAACTTGCTCTAGAAAACATCTGCTCTTTTTGTTTTACAAGCACAAAATTGAAACAGAAAACTTCGTAAGCAAAGTTTCACCAAGAGTTTTAGGCATGTTACACTGGATGTTGTGTCCTCTGCAGTAACCTGGAAAAATTACATAGAAGCCACCTTGGTGGTTTAGCGCAAATTTGACTAAGTCAAAATGACAAGTAATTATAAGCCAAATAAAATACATAACCTGAAATGACAATACTGTTCAAACCTTGGGATGAGATTTTGGTCAGTTGACATCGGTTACCTATCCACAATGTCTTCTATTATTATTCGGGTTGGTTATTAGAATGCCCTTTAAGTTAGTATTAACTACTACTTTGGACTTATTTCTAACCAAATTCTAGCAGCTGTTTTACATATGCCTAATCCCCCTTTTAAAGACTGCTTCATTGAAACAGGGCCATTTACTTATCCTATTTCACAAAGTTGAAGTTCTCGGTCACTTTTGTTCCTGGCCCAAGAGTTTTGACCATTATGTGCTGTTTTACCCACAGTACGTATCAAAATGATTCTCAAAATTCTAGAAAATAATTTTTTAAATATATTGTTTTCCTGTGTTATGGCTTTTCCCAGCCCCGCTATTTCCTACTTCTCTTTAACTCTGAATAATTTCTTATTCGGAGTTTGCCGTCATGCGACGCAGTTATCGTTGAAAGAGAGCGGAAATTAAATTTACCTTCACATACTATCTAGCGGTCATTTTCTACAAATCTTAATTTTTCTAGTTTCTATCTGCGTATGCATTATTCGACAAAAAAGACATGGTTACAGTCTCATTCTTGATGAGTGCATAATTAACATGCATAATAAGTACTGCAGTTGCCTCTGCTAGTGTGAAATAAGCCGCAGAGTTAATTTTCCGCGACCAAATCAAAGAATTTTGGAAAAGCAACAGAAAAGCATTACTGATAAGAACAATGGAGACTGGAATGGCCATTTGTGGCTCGTTAACCGTCAACAGCCAGCCGTCGGCTCAGGGTTTCGCAACATCTGAGACTCGAACACGCATTCTGTTGGCTAGAAGCCCGACACTAACTATTGAGCCAGGGGCTCGTTGCCCTGTCGGCTGAAATCGAATAATTAATTAGGTTAGAGGGGTGCGCCTTGATCAGGTTACGGGACGGGTACGTCCCGGCGAAAGACACCCACTTTTGGAAACGCGAGGCTGGGAGACATGGGGCTCCGATAGAGAATCACCAAAGTTTGAGGCAAGCGCCGTATTAGTGAAACACTGGCATACACCCTGCTGCCCGTGATCGAAAATAGAGAGGGAGAGAGAGATTGGTGTAGATATCACAAAAGTGTCAGTGAATTGCAAAATCTTCGATGAAAATGTGGCTTTTCATTGCACTATCTAGGGGCAGTATGTCATACGGGGTGGAGTGAGTTGAAAATGCCTATACACGTGGGTTCGAAGTAAATAGGGAACTTCGTCTCAAGCCACGTTTAAGACGAGTGTTATGCCCTCATCGGCATCAAGGTTGAAAGTTCCTAGTAAGATCCTCCAGTCAATGTGCGCGCATCAAAGCATACTTGTGACCAAGGTGCATGAAGAGAATAAACACAGACCAGACTAGTCTTCTTGTTCACGGGCAGAACACCCAGAAAACAGACTTTCTAGCCGTCGTCCCCACCTGGCTCTTTCCATGTTTGGGAAAAACAGTAATAACTGTATGCTCATGAAGTAGCGGACAAGACAGACCATTTAACGAAATCCAAGAAAATAACATGTAATTTTTTACATTTAGAAAAAGGGGCAATGAAAGTGAAGTTCCGCGAACTTCGTCGTTTTTGTGAAGTAAAATACGAGTACTGGAGAGTTTTTGAAAGTCTTTAGAAAACTGCCACAACTCGAGTACTCTTGAGAGAAAGTTGAAGGAAAACGGCCAAGTTCTGGGACGTGATTTTTTTTAATCTGTCGCCTCACATATCCACACAAGCGCCTCTCCTAAATTGATGCACCCCGAAAGGCGCGTTCGTTTCTCTCTGACTTGCGAGTTAATGATTCTCTTTGGTGGATAGATTTTTTGTTTTCAATAAGCATGCTTTTGCCAAAAATCCACATGGATCCAAAGGCAAACATCCAAAGCTACGGCAGCGATTGTAGCAAAACGTATAAGGTAAGATTAGCTTTGTACTTGGCCCTCAGGGTTTACAGTATGATACCCATCCTTAAATTATAAGTAAAGTTTTACAGACCATTTGAGCAGTCTGCAGGTGTAAATCGAAACCCAAGGTTTCACATCCTTCGTTTTGACATTTCCTTCCCTCGATTTCTCAAAGACAACCGAGTGTATCCAGGGCTTCGTGCTACCAAGGCAGTTTTTGAGTTTATGCTTACGGAGGCAGCGGAAGATTTTGCTAGACTTTGCGGCCTCGCCAATGCACGTAAATGATCGCACCCATTTTGATTAATAGGCAGACTTCTATTCTATGCCGCAAAAGACTGATAAGTATGATGCAATCATATGAAAGCCTGCATAACGTCGATGATTTTGATGACTAAGTGCCGAACAGGGTCGAAATTTCTAAGAAAAATTGCCAAAAAAGGCTGGAGTTTTCGCAAATTTCAAAGGAGTTGGCACTACCAAAGCAAAAAAG